TAGAAAATAGAATAGGATAGGATACAGGATATAGAAAATATGGAATGGAATAGAATATAGAATAGAATAGAAAATAGAATAGGATAGGATATAGGATATAGAAAATATGGAATGAAATAGAATAGGATAGCATAGGAAAGGATAGGATATAGGATATAGAAAATATGGAATGGAATGGAACAGAAAATAGAATAGGATAGGTTATAGGATATAGAAAATATGGAATGAAATAGAATAGAAAATAGTCTTATTTTAAGCTTGATCAAATAAACCAACTTTGTATCCTTTCCTTTTCTAATTTTAGTTATAATAGTTTTTTTTTATTTTAAAAAAAGCAGTTGAGTTCTTCTTCCAAAGAGTTGGAAGCCAGAACACCCAGACTTATGATTTCAATTAGCTACTCTTGAAAATAAAATAAAATTAAATCATCCTTATCTCCTTTTAATGAGCCCATAATCCCTTGCGGGGTGGAGTCAGGGCAACTGAATGAAACAGAGTGTTTTAATGGCCAGATGCCCTTCCTGTCACCAATGCGGAGTTTTGTTCAGCAGATATATTCTCATTGTGCCCAGAGAGAAAAAAATCTGCCTCGGCCTAGGATCGAACTCACAGCCTCCTGATTGTGAGGTGAGAGCTCCACCTCTAGGCCACCACACCCCCACAAAAATAAAATTAAATGACGGAGACAAAACAATCGTGTTAATTTTCTTCCTCTCCTGTAGGTGAAGACCACAAGGAACTGATCAGCAAAGGATGTTCTGCCGATTGTCCTGAAGTAGGGTTTGATATCGGCGTGATGGCTTTCTCAGTGAAATGCTGTCAACATTCCTTCTGCAACACAAGTGGTGCCGTTGGTGTGAAGAAGAGCTCCTTGCTGCTGTTGGTGGGCACCTTGGCCAGTGTCTTCTATATCATTGGAGTCAATCTGTGATGAGAGACTACGTGAGCTCATGGCAGCTCCACCCAGGGAGGACTCGAACCTATCCTGGAAAATTGTAGGTTAAAAAGAATTTCCCTCTTGCTTCTTGGCTCTGCCTTCAATTCTTTCAACTAATAATCCAAGCCTAGTCCTTGGTACACCTCGGTGGTGTCCGATCTACATGGACTGTTTCTTGGGTCAAGGGCCTGATGATTCTCCTTTCCTCCCCGATCATGATTTTGCAGGTGTTTTGTAATTTCTCTGCAATTGCTCCTTGAGAACGCCAACCCACATGAGTTGACCAAAGTTATGGGCAGCGGATATCAAGATGCACAATTATAGAGTTGAGAAATAGCCTTGTGGTTGGTGATTTATCCCTCCTGGTGGGAGAGAACCTCAAGCCTTCCTTCTTGCTTGAAACAACCTTGCTTGCAAGGAAATTCCCTTTGGGGAGAGTTGGGTTTGATGATTCCAGCTTGCTTACTTTATACTTGGAGCTTGGTAAGATCAACTGTTGTTAAGCTTGGCTGTTCCGAACACCAAAGGAGCAGTGGTGGTATTTGACCGGTTCAGCCCGGTTCTGCCGAGCCGGTAGTGGCGATGAGCAGCGGAGACCAAACCGGTTCTCTCAACTGTTCTGTTGTTGGGCCCGCCTGCCCGGGCTCCCATACTCACCCTTACTCTCTGCTTTTGAAGCGCAGCTGCTTTGCACGGCACAGAAGAGTGCTACGCGGAAGCTGCTGAAGCAACCGGGAGAGTGAAAGCTTGCAGGAGGCGAATTGGAACCCCTCTGTGCCTGCACAAAGTGCGTGTTTGGCACGTGCACACATGCAAAGTATGTGCGCATGCACAAAGTGTGCCCACCAAGCCATGCCCACCGAACCGGTGGCAAAAGTTTTTGAATCCCACCACTGCAAAGGAGTATATTTCACGTGTAGCCCGTCGTGTAGGAATGAATGCCTAGTTTCACGCAATCCAAAGTTTGTAGAATAGATTGTCTGGACTCACGCCATGTGCTGAGCCCTAAAACGCAACGTACAGTTGACAAGGATTGCGTTAACATGCAACATTCAGCCATGCTGGATTGGGTACGGTCTTCCGCTGGTTGGGTTCATGGTTGAATAAGGGTTTGTTTTATTTAGAGAAGGTGAAAGGAACTTTTCTCAATGACACCGCCCAGAATCACACAGTATTAAGATGAGCAGCATATAATAAATAAATATATTTATTGATACATATTTATATCTATATCTGTATCTCACTGTATGGGATGTGGCCAGTGCCAGGTTTTTCCTGAATCAGTTGACCGCATATAAATCATTTGGCAAAAGCCACATTTTGTATAGGTAAAGCACTGTAAAGCTGCATATAAGTGCTATTGACTCTGCGTAGAACATTCTCTGAATAATTCCTTGGATTTTGACCATTTTGGGACATTAGGCAGCCCCTCAAGATTTACTTAGAAGTAATTCAGGTGTTTTCAACATTGAGACACATCTGGTGAGCTGCACCTTTAAAGTTGACGCTTCTTTTTCTAAAATGTCCAGAGTTTTCCCTATCCAGAATAGCAATAACACTCAGACTTATATACCGCTTCCCAGTGCTTTTATGGCCCTCTCTAAGAGGTTTATAGAGTCAGCATATTGTCCCCAACAATCTGGGTCCTCATTTTACCCACCTTAGCAGGATGGAAGGCAGAGTCCAAGAAGGATTCGAACTGCCAAATTGCAGGCAGCCGGCAGGCAGCAGAAGTAATCTGCAGTACTGCGCTCTAACCACTGTGCCACCACGGCTCCATAGGAGGAAAGTAATCCAAATTGGGAAAATAAGAGCACCGTTCAAACAATCAATTACATTTTCTCTCTTTCCCTTAAACCTTTGTAAAGGGTGTATTTTTCATAATGCTCCCAAACTGAATAATATTAATCGCAGAAAGGAAATTAAACCTTCCTTGCAATTTGTCTTTCTGTGCGTGTGTGTGGGTGGGGCATGTTGCTGAGCTTTAAATAACCCCCTTGTTTGATGCAGATTGGTTTTACAATGACCAGATTAGGATGACTAGTGAAGGAATTAAAAAAAAATCATCTAGACTCTTGGGGATATTTGTGGAGGGAAAAATAGAAAATTAGTTTTATTGTAACTACTTTATCTTGCTTACAAATTTATAGTATAGGCTAACAGGTGAAACCAATGTTTTCCAACCTCGGCAAATTTAAGATGTATGCACTTCAAGTCCAAAGAATTGAAGCTGCCTGGGAAATTGTGTAAGTCGAAGTCCACACAACTTAAGTATTCTGGGAGTTGAAGTCAAAACACCTTAGAATTCTGTGAATTGAAGTCCACACAACTTAGACTTCTGGGAGTTGAAGTCAAAACGACTTAGAATTCTGTGAATTGAAGTCCAAACAGCTTAGAATTCTGTGAATTGAAGTCCACACAACTTAGACTTCTGGGAGTTGAAGTCCAAACAGCTTAGAATTCTGTGAATTGAAGTCCACACAACTTAGACTTCTGGGAGTTGAAGTCAAAACAGCTTAGAATTCTGTGAATTGAAGTCCACACGACTTAGACTTCTGGGAGTTGAAGTCCACACATTTTAAAAGATGGGGAGGTTGAGAAACTATGTGTTAACCTACTTGCTGAATGAAACAATTTATCTGGGTTTATGCAATGCATTGGATTGTAAATGAACCAAATGGATGGTTAGTTAAGTTTCCAAGAAGCTCAACCTGGATTAACGTTAGCCAAGTTTAGCACTTTGCACAACAACTTTCATTATTATTTACCTGTTCATGAAGGTGGGGAAAAATAAATAAAATTGCAACAATATAAACATAAAAATAAAATAATGTTTTTTTTTTTTTTTTTACAAATGAATAAAGCTGTTTTAAAAGCAGGTAATACATCTTTGCTTGTCTTATGTTTCTTCCTACTCAGAAAGCCTTTAAAGTACAGGTGTGCAGTTGCGCCTTTCAGTGAAATCATTATACAGGTAGTCCTTGACTTGTGACCACAACTGAGCCCAAAATTTTCTGTTGTTAAGTCAGATATTTGTTAAGTCAGACATGATTTTCCATCCTTGTCCTGCCTTTAGGTGCTTTGGGACGGGGGCAGGGGTGGGCTGCTAATGGTTTGCACCAGTTTGGGTGAACCGGATGTTAATTTTACATCCGGTTCGCTGAACGGGAAGTTGCAATGATTGGCTGGCCTCACCCACATTCACCCACGTGGCCCAATTTGGATCCCAGGTAGGTGTAAGGCAGGGATAGGAAAACTATGGCCCGGGGGCCACATCCGGCCCGTTGGTCTTTTTAATCCAGCCTGCCAAAGATTGTTACAGAATTAAGGTTTGATGTGAATGATTGAATGATTGCATTCATTTGATTTTGACTTGTAATGACAGGCATTTTGACACCAGGTGGAGGCCCGTCCGTCAAATTTTAAAAGTCAATGAGGCCCCCAAGCCAAAAAGTTTGCCCACCCCTGGTGTAAGGCCTGTACAGAGGGCTCGGGGAGGGTGAAAAATGAGCCTCCTAGAGCAGCGGTTGTCAACTGGTGGGCCGCAGCCCACTGGTGGGCCGTGAGAAAATTTTGGTGGGCCGCAGAGAAATCTCACCCCCAGAGCACCCCCACAAAGCAATTAATCCAGGCTGTGCAGAAACACAAGGCTGCGCGGCCCACATGGCCCGTGGGAACCCTCTCCTCCCACTCACTCCTTACCTGGTGAACTTACCTGCTAAATTGCTATTTTTCCTTTTTCTGACCATCATCTGTTCTGCTGTGCTGGGAGATTTAGATTAGCTAGGAAGCAGGAAATTTCTTGCTTTCTAGCTAGTCTTTAGATCTCTGGCTTTGCTTGTAAGTACAGCCGAACCTCTCTTAGGACTGAAGATTTGCTTTCAAGTAAATTCAGTGCAGACTCACAGCAAGCACATTTGAGAGACTGAGCTAGCCGATTACAGATAGATAGATCACTGAATGATTCTGTGAGCAACTCTGTCTGCCTGCTTTGCCTGCTTTTGGGTAAAAGTTGCTCTTTTTAAAATAAAAAATTCAATATTTACATGCAGGGTGGTGTTGTGAGTTAATTTTGTGAGTTTGCTTGAAAGCAAATTTTATGTGAAGGACTCAGGTAGCAGATTGCAGAAAGATAGATCTCTGAATGAATCTGTGGTTCTGTGAGCAACTCAATCTGCCTGCCTGCTTTGCCTGATTTTGGGTAAAAGTTGCTCTTTTTTTAAATAAAAAATTCAATACAACCCATGCCCAGCCAGTCACATGACCACCAAGCCATACCCACAAATTAGGCCATGCCCACAGAATCAGTTAGTGGTCCCAGGGACCTAAAATTATGAGTTTGGTGGTCCCTGAGGTCCAAAAGATTGGCGACCCGTCCTAGAGGGTCTGGAAAGCCAGAAGCAGGCCCATTTCCAGCCTCTAGGAGCCTGGAGAGGCTGTTTTTGCCCTCCCAGAGGCTTGAGGAAAGCCTCCGGAACCTGTGGAAGGTGAAAATTAGGCCTTCCAGAGGCTCCAGAAGGCCAGAAACAGGCCCGTTTCCGGCCTCTAGAGGGCCTCTGGAGCCCAGAGAGCCCATTTTCGCCCTCTTGGAAGCTCGAAGCCTCCGGAGCCTGGGGAGGGTGAAAACAGCCCCCCCTGCTATGGTGCAGGAGGCCGACTAGGCCCCGTCCACCATGGCCACACCCACCCAGCAACCAGGCAGAGAATTGGTTGCTAAATTTTTTGAAGCCCATCCCTGGACAGTGGTCCTCAACCTGCAGGCCTCAACCTGGTATTGGGCTGCGGCCCATTTGGAACCAGGCCGCACAAGTAGGAGATATGGGGACATAACTCAATTTGCTTAAGAAGCAGGCACTCACGCCGGCACAGAAAGCTCCTTTTCTGCAAGCAGGGCTGTGTCCACCCATCTTGTCAACCCAGAAGCTGACCTGACCACAGTCATTTTGATGCTTCAGTGTTGCCACACTGGACCTGAGGGATAGGGAGGGCGGGGGGAAATATAGAGAGCTGGGGTTTTGTAGCCAAAATAAAATACTTTCCCCTGGGAACCAAGGACACTTCCACAGGTGGTCAGAGGAGAGGAGGAGTGAAGTTACCAGGTGACCGGACAGCATCTTGATTGGACCATGTGACTGGAGAAGGAAAAAATTAGGTGAAAAACCTTCAGAGTTGGTTTTCACCAGAACTGTGCCAACATGATAGATCCAATAAATTCTTTGAGGAATCTAGTATTCTTTGAGGAATCTACTTGCCTCAGAGATTTACTTGTTTGGTGGTGTATTATTTGGAACCCTGACACACTGCTTGAATAAATGCGGCTGCGCACACAAGCGTATGTGCTTGCTGCTTGTGTGAAAACAACCCTTCTCCTTCCCTCCCCCGCCACCAGCCAGTGGGCAAAAGTTGGAAAAGTTGGAGACCCCTGTTTTGCAGAATAGGTTGACCCCATCTCTTGTGGCAGCCCCTCAAATGTTGGAACCCCAATATTGGAATATTTGGAACCAGTGTTTTTCAGTGATGGCCACTCTGAATTCTGAATAGGTTGTTCGGCTCTTCCGATATAAAAGGGATTAAAATAGCCGTCTGTGAAGGGATGTGTTCTTAGGGAATAAAGAACAGGTGGTCGGATACGTTC